AAAATAAAAATTCAGAATCAACTGCAAAATGCTCATATTTTGCCCTGAACAGGTGAAAACAGTCCTTTTCTTCCTAGTTGTTACAGTTATTTCATCTTTCAATGCAATAGTATCATTAAAAGTTCAAAATTCATTGTTTAAATTTTGATCCAGCCTACATTTAGTTTGTTGACTTCATGGCTCCTATTGTACCATTTTGGGCCATAATAGAATGCCTAGGTCTGTTTTTATTTTCATTATTTTTTTTGCCCGCCCGCTCCATTATTTTTCTAGAAAAATCCGTTAACCAAGAAATTAAATTGGTGTGGCCTTATGAGTTATAGAGGTGGTAGCCTTGGCCAGTTTGACTGTAAGGCCATACCAATTTAATTTGTTGGTTCTCGGATTTTTTTCAGAAAAAATATGAGGCGGCAGGGTGAAAAAAATAAATAAATAAAAACAGGCCTAGGCATCCTATGCTAGCTCAAAATGCTATTATAAGAGCCACGAAATCAACATACCAAGCTGGTTTGTAATACAAACAATGAACCTCAAACTTTTAATCAAACCAATGCATTGATAGATGAAAAAAAATCTAACAATTCTGAAGAAAAGGGACTTCCTTTAACGTTTTGGGCTGAAATATGAGCATTTTGGAGTTGATTGAGAGCTTGCCTTGAAATGTTTTTTTTTTGCAATTCAGAAAAAAATGAAGCGGCAAATCCAAGAACCTACAAATTAAATTGGTGGGCCAAAACATATAGAATTTTCTCCCCACAAATAATGTATAATGTAAAATACAATTTTTTTCTCCAATAGGTCCAACTACAGACCACCAGTGATGCGGAGGAACCTGGTACTTCAGGTACCATGTCCAGTGGTTATGGTACCGAGGAGACAGCCTCCTCCACACCTGATGATGACAGGGATGGATACTTTGACCACCCACTCAAGGGAAGAACTGTCATCACATACATGTTTGAGGTATGTTGGAATTTTTTGGCGACGTCTCAGGGAGGGGCCTAATGGTACAGTATTGTGTGCAGTTTGCAAGAATTCTAGGAATGGTACAGGCATTTTGTCCACAGGAATGGAATTTCCACAGGCATTTCTCTGACCCACATCTATGCCCACATTCCTGGAAACCCTTGGGATGACCTCTCTTTCCTGGATGGCCCTACTTTCTGTGACCATGGGGCTCGTTCACTATACACTCAGAGAAGGAGTGCACTGTATCTGTCTAGACTTAACAGGTACCAAGTCTTCCTCAAAATCATGAAATCATGCAGTGCCATGCAAACAATAACCCTAACCGCAACCACCGTCACCATGGCAATGTACGTTTTCATTGCCAGTCTTGTTTTATTTCCTTCGCAGAGGGAAAACATATTGTTTTTGCTCAGTTTCTTCTTCCGTTCTAAACAAATAAAGTCAATGACCTGGATTAGATGTCTGTCACCATGGTAACTGGTGCTGTAGCAGACACCCTGTGGTGTTGGGTTAATGCTATCAACGAATGTGCGAATAGTCCTGTCCTTGGCGCTGAACGCTATCAACGCAAGTGCAAATAGTACTGTCCTTGGTGCTGAACGCCACCAACGCATGTGCAAATAGTCCTGTCCTTGGTGCTGAACGCTATCAACGAATGTGCAAATAGTCCTGTCCTTGGTGCTGAACGCTATCAACGCATGTGCAAATAGTCCTGTCCTTGGTGCTGAACACCACCAACGCATGTGCAAATAGTCCTGTCCTTGGTGCTGAACACTATCAACGCATGTGCAAATAGTCCTGTCTTTGGTGCTGAACACCACCAACGCATGTGCAAATAGTCCTGTCCTTGGTGCTGAACACTATCAACGCATGTGCAAATAGTCCTGTCTTTGGTGCTGAACACCACCAACGCATGTGCAAATAGTCCTGTCCTTGGTGCTGAACGCTATCAACGCATGTGCAAATAGTCCTGTCCTTGGTGCTGAACGCTATCAACGCATGTGCAAATGGTCCTGTCCTTGGTGCTGAACGCTATCAACGCATGTGCAAATAGTCCTATCCTTGGTGCTGAACGCTATCAACGCATGTGTAAATGGTCCTGTCCTTGGTGCTGAATGCTATCAACGCATGTGCATGTGCAAATAGTCCTGTTCTTGGTGCTGAACGCTATCAACGCATGTGCAAATAGTCCCGTCCTTGGTGCTGAATGCCATTAACGCATGTGCATATAGTCCTGTCCTTGATGCTGAATGTTATCAACGCATGTGCATATAGTCCTGTCCTTGGTGCTGAATGTTATCAACGCATGTGCAAATAGTCCCGTCCTTGGTGCTGAACGCTATCAACGCATGTGCAAATAGTCCTGTCCTTGGTGCTGAACGCTATCAACGCATGTGCAAATAGTCCTGTCCTTGGTGCTGAATGCTATCAACACATGTGCAAATAGTCCTGTCCTTGGTGCTGAATGCTATCAACGCATGTGCAAATAGTCCTGTCCTTGGTGCTGAATGCTATCAACGCAAGTGCAAATAGTCCTGTCCTTGGTGCTGAACGCTATCAACGCATGTGCAAATAGTCCTGTCCTTGGTGCTGAATGCTATCAACGCAAGTGCAAATAGTCCTGTCCTTGGTGCTGAACGCTATCAACGCATGTGCAAATAGTCCTGTCCTTAGTGCTGAACACCATCCTGAGAAATGGAGTATGGAGGAAAAAAGGGTGATTTGCTTCTGTAGTAAAATTTGTCCTGGCCGAGAAAGTTCTAAATTTAAAAAGAATTACAATAGGTTGACTTTGTTGAGTTGCTCTTTTCTTTGAACTTTCTGTAAATTGTATTCCATGTATTATGCGCCTGTTTTGCTGTAGCACCATATGTTTTCCAATACAGGTATATCATGCTATGAAAATATTGTATTTTCCATGTATTTAATAGGAAAAGAGGAATGTGTACTGCTACATGGATGATGAGACAGGCTACTGGATCAACATGCCTCTGATGTGGGAACTGCATAACGAATACATCAGAAAACAAGTGCATGAAATACAGGTCAATATTCACTCTCCAAGTTTGTCTCTGTTTTTATCTAGTATAAGACTTTAAATTTATAATCCTTTGTTATTCTTTGGGGAGATTAGTTATGTTTACTTAATTTACCTTCACAGAAAAAATATATATTGTTTTTGCTTTGTTTCTTCTTCTGTAACAAACACATAAGGTCAATGACCTGAACCAGACGTCTGTCACTATGGTAACTGGTGCTGTAGCAGACACCCTGTGGTGTTGGGTTACATTATGTAGCAAGTTGCAGGACAGAGTTGGAATCGTGTCACAACATATATGAATGTGTTGAGTAAGAATAAACAGAGCAGTACTTTGTAGGGCTAAACCATGTGAAGGTTAACATTAGGCCACACCAATTTAATTTCTTGGTTAACGGATTTTTCGAGAAAAATAATGGAGCGGGTGGGCGAAAAAATGAAAAAATAAAAACAGGCCTGGGCACCCTATTATGGCCCAAAATGGTACGATAGGAGCCATGAAGTCAACACACCAGGCTGGTTCAAAATTCAAACAATAAATTTTGAACTTTTAATGATACCATTGCATTGAAAGATGGAATAACTGTAACAACAAGGATGAAAAGGACTGTTTTCAACTGTTCAGGGCAAAATATGAGCATTTTGCAGTTGATTCTGAATTTTTATTTTTATTTGCAAATCAGAAAAAAATGAAGCGGGCGAATCCGTTAACCAAGAAATTAAATTGGTGTGGCCTTATGCATTAATTTTGAAGAAATTTAACGTTACCTTCTACTAAGTTCTAGTTCTAAGAGATTCAGTCTGTAACTTATGAAAATAATGTTGAGAAAGAGTGGTCTAATATTATGTCTGATTTTTTTTCAGGAGTCTATTCCTACATGGACAGATGAAATTGACATCTTAGCCAGTTTGAGACAGTGTAACTATAATACTGAGCAGACGGTAGCTAACTATCTTTGTCTGGGAGATCCCAATCTAGGTAAGATTTAGGGTAGAACACCTCTGGATAAATATCAATATGCAGTCTTTGCAAAAAAGACATAGTTATAATTCCTGATTTTTTCACGGTACTTTTTTGTGCATGGTTTTCATGGACACGTCTGTACCTTGAACTTATCATTAGGCCACAGCAAGTAAATTTTATGGATGACATCCTCCGCAGACTCCAAATCTAATGCGAGCGGGCGAAAACAAAACAAGGCGGGCCGAAAAAACAAGGTTCCTACATTTTAAAATTTTGACTCAATCATTGTACAAATGGTTTTTATTCGGTGGGAGCATCACATATACACAGCCAACATCACATATCACTGCATCAAAGTAAGAAACAAAACTGTTACATTGAATCAGAGCCTTTTCTTGTCTCCTCTCTTCATAGTTATCTGCCATCCACGTTCCGGCATGGCAGCAGACATCTTTGCCCATTTTCGGCATGTTGACCACTGTCAGACGGCAACAAAATTTCTTGTTTCTTTTCCAAAATCAGGCGAAAATTAATGCGCGCGCTGATGTCATCCATAAAAATTACTTGCTGTGGTCTTACGGCTAACATCAGAACATCAGAAAGAGAATTTAGAGTATTTGTACTGTGCTAAATTAGTTGCTAAACAAAGATACTGTTATCTTCAAGTTGAAAGTTCATCTGTGTTTAGTATATTGAGTCATTAGGCCACACCAATTTAATTTCTTGGTTAATGGATTTTTCTACAAAAATAATGGAGCGAGAGGGTGAAAAAAAATAAAAATAAAAACAGGCCTAGGCATCCTATTATGGCCCAAAATGGTACGATAGGAGCCATGAAGTCAACACACCAGGCTGGTTCAAAATTTAAACAATGAATTTTGAACTTTTAATGATACTACTGCATTGAAATATGGAATGACTGTAACAAGTAGTAAGAAAAGGACTGTTTTCAACTGTTCAGGGTAAAATAGGAGCATTTTGAAGTTGATTCTGAATTTTTATTTTTATTTGCAAATCAGAAAAAAATTAAGTGGTGAATCCATTAACCAAGAAATTAAATTGGTGTGGCCTTATGAATCAAGTTCAAACTGTAATTTCTAACACAAGAAATTGGACTTATTTACCCAAATTTTTGACTGCACAACAGTTACTCCAGTCTTTGTCAAGGAATAAGCACTACACAGTAATATGCAGATAATACACGTGACTCAGTGAGCAGATGATCATAGGGTGCAGAAAGACTGTGGCGCCCCCCGTCTCTGTTGAGCCGGGCCTTGAGGGATGGTTGCAATGCCCTGATGTTGATGGCACTGTTCACCTACATTATACAATAAAATTAAATATAGTGTCACCTGCATAACTTAATGTCACAGAAGCAATGGATTGCTAATTCCTTGACAAAAACTGAAGTTGGTCAGTTGAAAATTTTTGAAAGTCCAATTTCTTGTATTGGAAATTACAGTTTGAACTTGCTTCATAAACATAATTGTGGGTTCGAGTCCTGACATGCCACAGATTTTGTGCCCTTGGGAAAGGCACTTAACACGACTTTCCTCACTTCGCTCAGGTGAAAATGAGTACTGTATTGTCCCCTGTTTTGGTGGCTGCATTAGTATAAGTTGAAAAAGTTGAGTGTGCCATCACCACATCTTCTGATTACATGTTGGATTTAAAAAACAACAACAACAACAACAACAACAACATAATTATGATATTTTTGTTGGCAGGTGCCAAACGCTGGGGAGGTGGCAGAGAAGGACAACAACAACTACAGGAGAAGGACAGACAGATCCATACCTTACAGGAACAACTCAAGCAGAAGGTAAGGCCTAGGAAAATTAAAGTGCTCATGACACCAAAATATATACAACCTTAGCTGATTGTAGTTGACATAACTAGTATTATCTGGCTATAAGGCCACACCAATTTAATTTCTTGGTTAACGGATTCGCCCGCTTCATTTTTTTCTGATTTGCAAATAAAAATAAAAATTCAGAATCAACTGCAAAATGCTAATATTTTGCCCTGAACAGTTGAAAACAGTCCTTTTCATCCTAGTTGTTACAGTTATTTCATCTTTCAATGCAATGGTATCATTAAAAGTTCAAAATTCATTGTTTAAATTTTGAACCAGCCTGGTCTGTTCACTTCATGGCTCTTATCGTACCATTTTGGGCCATAATAGGTTACCTAGGCCTGTTTTTATTTTTTTTATTTTTTTCGCCCGCCCGCTCCATTATTTGTCTAGAAAAATCCGTTAACCAAGAAATTAAATTGGTGTGGCCTAAAACACATTTACAATAAATATGCATGGTTCTCCAGTTACATTCCAAATTTTAATACCCTGCTTTGGAAAAGTCACCACAAGCCAGTCCTAGCAGATTATTTGCATCTCTGCATTTATTTTTTCATTTCTGTGTTTTTTCCTGAGCTGACATCCCCCTGTGATGTCAACTCCGGAAAAACACAGAAATACACAAATACAACCGACCTTAAATTGGACTAAACTGAATCACAAAAAGAAAGAATGTTTATGAAAATAAGGCATTTTTTTCTGTTTGATGGAAAAATATTAAATTTCTATTTTAGCTGTCACCTAGTTAAGTTGTTTACTTTGGTTTAACATGTAGACATGTTCATTTGGTCTTTAGGAGCAGGAAATCCAGTCTCTTCTTCAGCAAAGAGTAGCACTGAAAGCTGAAGTACAGGAAAAAGTTGAGAAGGTGGGTTGTTGTAGTTAGTTCTTCTATCGCATTGAATACTTCTAAGTAAATGATGTAATAGTGAGGTTTGAAGTGCTACCAACTGAGGACTTGTCTGACGGGTCCTGGACCTTTTGGCCTAGTGGTTATGGCATTGGAGTTGCAACCAGACCTGTGACCTTCAATACCAACAGGGCTCAAATATGTTGTTTGGTAAAGGTGCACATGAAAAAAAATGTTATTTTTACTTGCACAACATTAAGTTTCAAGTTGACTATTAGCACAGATTCTAACTAAATAAACTGTATAAACAGAAAGTCCACTTCTCAGTACTTGCTGTCTAGGCCCAAAAGAAGCAGTTGATAGATTTTCCATATATGTGTGCAAATATGAAACAGTTACATTACTGTTATTTTTTAGATTTTCATAACTCTATTGGATATTTCTAGTGGTTGCAGAAGTCTGTAAAGTTACTTGTACTGGCGCAAGTTCGGTCAAAATTATGTGCACCCCTCCAATTGCACTCGCACAAAGTGGTAATTGTAGGGATAATTTGAGTACTAATTATTACCTCCGGGGGAGGAGACATCCTTCTGCGGAAGGGTTTTGTGAGAGATTTAGATTTTCACGTTCACAGCTGTTTCTGGCGTTTGGGTGGACGGATTCTTTTGAGACTCGGTATATGTTTTGCTATTGGGCTGTAGATGATGCACGTCCTTTTGTTTTTTTATTGTATATGTGTTTTCGGGCGTGAAAATGGTGCCTTTTGGTGGCCCCAAAACACCCCTTTGAGCATGAAAGTGGTCGCGACCGTTGACCTTTGGCGTGTTTAAGCTATTCTCGGTCTGGTCCACGTATATGACCCCTCACACAGAGGGGTGTCCGGTCTCGATAAATTCTTTGTTTAAAACCCTATATAAAAATATACAATAAAAAGCCGGGAGGTATAAAATATCAGATTTTACCTGTTAACTATATATCTGCCCAGGTTTCGGAGCTGAATGAGAAAGTGTTGGACCTGGAGGTGGAGAACAATGACATGCACGTCAAGCTGTCAGCATCACACATGCAGATGGAGAGGATGAAGACAATGACTCCCTCATCTTTCTCAAGACGTCGCCATGTAAGAACCATTGATTCTTTCAAGTTCCTTATCTTAGAGCACTTACATGTATCTTCTATTCATTGACAAGTGTCCTTATCATAGAGCACCCTAAGCTTGTATTTTGTGCTAATAGTACAAAAGAAAATTACAAAAGAACTTTATTGACAACAAAAGTACAGCGACTTTTGTTAAGGTCTAAAAGTACATGTAGACATACAGACAAATACATGGGTACAACGAAATTAAGCTACATACAATACAATAAATGAGTCAACTTATACTACTTGTTCTAAGGTCTAAACATTCTTTGATATATTTACAATGTACCTTATTTACATATTATCATTTTAAGAGTAGATAATCCATACGGTGTGCATATTGGGAAATACATTTAGTTGAAAGCATGTTTAAATCTTGTCTGCATGCTAGAGAATAGTTAAACCTCTAATGTTGCCACTGACATATTGAGTACTATGCAGTGTGCTGCATACATGTAACATGTATTCTGTAAGTTGCATGACTTTAATCATACAATAATTTATTAAGCTTAGTTGAAGTAGACCATACAAAAGTCCCTGAGTAGGTACTTTTGTCAAGTCAATAAATAATCTCTACTGTATTTATAAAGTTTGAGCTTAGGCCACACCAATTTAATTACTTGGTTAACGGATTTTCCTAGAAAAATAATGGAGCTGGCGGGCGAAAAAAAAAAGAATAAAAACAGGCCTAGGCATCCTATTATGGCCCAAAATGGTACTATAGGAGCCATGAAGTCAACACACGAGGCTGGTTCAAAATTTAAACAATGAATTTTGAACTTTTAATGATACCATTGCATTGAAAGATGGAATTACTGTAACAACTAGGAAGAAAAGGATGGTTTTCAACTGTTCGGGGCAAAATATGAGCATTTTGCAGTTGATTCTGAATTTTTATTTTTATTTTCAAGTCAGAAAAAAATGAAGCGGGCGAATCCGTTAACCAAGAAACTAAATTGGTGTGGCCTCACAGTGTAGTTCCAACACAAAAAGGGAACTCACCATATATTTTCGACCAATCTCGTTAACCTTCTTCATTTGTGTGATCCACTTGCTAACTCTCGAGAAGTCGGAAGCGTGATGACGTCAGGAGTGTTGAAACTAAGCTCAAACTTTTCTATAATGGTTTCTACCAACACATACGAACTTTCATTCAAAGAATCTCTACTGTTGTTCTAGGGTGATGAGTCTGGCTTTGACTCCCAGAGAGAGTCCTCTGCTGAGTCCATGACTGTGGTGAAGGCCCCGCGGACCCCCACCCCCGAACCACAGCCTCCCCCGGGCCCTACCGTGGACGAGGAAACACTGAAGGCTCTGAACCACACAGCGCTGGAGCTGGACAAGTCTTACCGCAGTCTGAAGGGTGTCGTCAAGGATGGCTTCTTAGACCTGCAGGACCTAACAAAAAGGGTAGGGGGAGCTTTTGTACTATCATTGACAAAGACACTCAGTTCTCCAAGGATTAGGTGCAACAGTTAAGCTTAGGGTTCAAAAGCACTAAACCACACAGCACTGGAGCTGGACAAGTCTTACCGCAGTCTGAAGGGTGTCGTCAAGGACGGTTTCTCAGACCTGCAGGACCTAACAAAAAGGGTAGGGGGAGCTTTTGTACTGTCATTTAGGGTTACAGTTAGGGTTCAAAAGCACTAAACCACACAGCACTGGAGCTGGACAAGTCTTACCGCAGTCTGAAGGGTGTCGTCAAGGACGGCTTCTCAGACCTGCAGGACCTAACAAAAAGGGTAGGGGGAGCTTCTGTACTTTCCTTGCCAAAGACACTCCAAGGATTAGGTGCAACAGTTAAGCTTAGCGTTCAAAAGTACTGAACCACACAGCACTGGAGCTGGACAAGTTTAACCGCAGTCTGAAGGGTGTCGTCAAGGACGGCTTCTCAGACCTGTAGGACCTAACAAAAAGGGTAGGGGGAGCTTCTGTTCATCACATTGTTGGCTGACAGCTCTCCAAAGAACTCCAGGTCTTTTTTGGAAAACCTAACACTATCCTAATCCTATCTCTAACCCTAACCTGCAAGACTTAACAAAAAGGGTAGGGGAGCTTCTATATCATCACAATGTTCACTGACAGCTCTCCAAGGATCTGGTGCAACTCAAGCTTAGGGTTCAAAAGTCTTACAGTTTGCACCATCATGCATTTAAACAATCAACGAATGGAAAAATAACCCAAAAAAATTAGATTATGATATACACTTTGAGCAATCATTATGACCACATGTAAACTTTAACCAAGCATGATCTTTTTAAATTCACCATAGGTGCTACAATTTGTATCCCCGAAGTATTACAATTTGGTGTGCTATCTATTGGCATAGATCACTTAATGAAGAGAATACTGTAAATCACTTTATGTTCGCAGTAGCAAAAGTTTGAGGCCTATGAAGGATGGAAAATGTTCGCGGAAGTATACATTCGTGGTGGAGGCAGGTGCAGGAAAAAGAAAGCGTATTATATGTTCATGGTAATGTCTGTGAAAACTGTAAATATAAAAGTACAGCAAAAAAATTGCGATTTACATTATCTAAAAGGGCTACATATAGCTAATTATCTCCGAAGACACAGCAGTAACCCATGTGCCGTGTATTGTCCAGGCCATCTCCGCCCTGGGACAGATCAGTGAGATGGACAGCAGTAGTGGTGCAGAGGTGGAGGAGCTGAGGGTCCTGTACAGGAAGGAGGCTCTACAGAGGAAACTTCTTTACAACCAGGTGGGTACTCAATCAATCAATCAATCAATCAATCAATCAATCAATCAATCAATCAATCAATCAATCAATCAATCTTTATTCAAACAACTAGCAGAATTGAGTTGTTTTTACAATTCATAAAATTAGGTATTAAACAATTCTAATGGTTTAAAAATACATAATTTACACAATAATCACACAAAATCGGTAGAGAGCTATACTCTATGCCCTCTTAAGTAAAAGTAGGGAAGTACTGCATTTAACTAGCGTTTAACAGCTCAACAGTGTAGGGAATGGGCGATTTTTTGTACCGTTCTGTGCGGCAATATGGAGTGTCAAACTTATGTGCAGAACGTGTACTTCTACCAGAGATATTCTGCCTTATACTGGGGGCAGCCCATTGGCAGAACGTACTGTGCCTGCGCAAAACCTCGATTTTTCACAGTTTTTGTTGGATTTTTGGTCAACATTGAATTTTGACTGTTACAGAAGATATCTTTTCCGACATAAAATTTGGAAACTACAGACAGAGTGTTGATCTTATATGCGCGAATACAACCTTATTATATGGGACTTTATGCCGAAATGGTTTGCGCAATATAGTACAGATTTCGCACAGGTGCAGTACTTTCTGCCGAAGAGTTGTACTCTACAACTTTGAATGAGGGCCTGCATGGGGGGTGGGGGGTTCAGACAACGCTCTACGCTGAATTTTTAGAGCCGGTTATGTATTATGCTGAATTCAAGAAGCCTCCCAATTACGTTTTACGATAAATTCCGGTGAGCTACAACGCATTACGTAGAACTAAAACGGTTAAGTACACTTTGCGCAAAATGTGCCTGTTACGCTCTACGTTGAATTAGAGCGGTCCGTCTATTCTCTAAGTAGAATTAAAACGGGTGACCTTTGCATGTGGTCTGCTCTGTTAATTATTACTCAAACACATTCATATATACAGTATGGTGACAGGAGTCTAAATCCCTCCTGCTATAAAACTGCAACATGATGTAACCCGACACTAGTCACCATGGTGAGAGACTGTCTGGTTCAGGTCATTGACCTTTTGTGTTTAGAGAAGAGAAAACTGAGCAAAAACAATATATTTTCCTTCCGTAAACAAAAAAGAGATAAGATACGGTAGTGATTTGGTGGACCTGCACCTAATCAATATTCACAGTACAGCTCTAAAACTGACTACCGGTAGTCACTCTATGGCAATTAAAATGTCAGATCTTGAGGAGCTTGTGACATCTATGCCTGCCTGAGCCACAAGCATCATCAATCTGTTGTAACAAGTGTCTCTGAGGGAACCTCAATACAACATGACTACCCTGAGGTGGAGCCAACATGATGTAACCCAACACTAGTTACCATGGTGAAAGACTGTCTGGTTCAGGTCATTGACCTGAAGAAGAATTTGGAGAAGAAGAGGAAACTGAGCAAAAACAATATATTTTCCTTCGGTAAACAAAAAAGAGATAAGATACGGTACATAGTGATTTTGGACCTGTACCTAATCAATATTCACAGTACAGCTCTAAAACTGACTACCGGTAGTCACTCTATGGCAATTAAAATGTCAGATCTTGAGGAGCTTGTGACATCTATGCCGGCCTGAGCCACAAGCGTCATCAATCTGTTGTAACAAGTGTCTCTGAGGGAACCTCAATACAACATGATTACCCTGAGGTGGAGCCAACGTGTCAGTAGGCTCAAGCATCACAGGCTTCAGATGTCCTCCTGCACCTTTGATTAAGTGTTCTTTTTCAAGCGGTGGATCTTCCTTGATAGCAAGTTGACACCTTGCAATGTCCCCTCAGAATAGAAGCCTGTGCTGATAGTTATTGAGTAACAGTGTGGCTTGAGTTTGAGTTTAGGCCTAGGAAAAAAATGTTGTGTTTCCTGTTTCAGTCCTGAAAAAAATTAGGGTCGGTAGGTAGGGATTATCTTTTTTGAGTGAACCCTTTATTACATTAACCTTTACAGAAGGAAAACATATTGTTTTTGCTCAGTTTCTTCTTCCTCTTCGTCTTGACCTGAACCAGACGTCTGTCACCATGGTAACTGGTGCTGTAGCAGACGCCCTGTTGTGTTGGGTTACATTATGTAGCTGGTCACCATATATTATATATGAATGTGTTTGAGTAAGAATAAACAGAGCAGTAGTTTGTTAGGCTGGACCATGTGAAAGTAAATGTGGTTTGCTTTAATTTGCAAATGTCACCCTTCTATTTGCAGCTGTTTTTCATTATGTTTACCTTCGCAGAAGGAAACTTTTGCTCTGTTTCTTCTTCCTCTTCTTCTCCAAACAAATAACATCAATAACCTGAACCAGACGTCTGTCACTATGGTAACTAGTGCCGGGTTACATCATGTTGCAATTTTATAGCAGGAGGGATTTAGACTCCTGTCTGACCATATATTTCCATGTGTTTGAGTAAGAATTAACAGAGCAAACCGTATTCGAAGGTAAACATTATGCTTTTAGTCGCAAATGTTACTAGTCTTGAAATATCTTCTCATACCTGCTTAAACGATAACTTCTGTTGCTTGTTTAAAGTTATAAAACTTTTGGTCCAACACAAAAAATTCTCTCACCTAGAACTTTTGACCAGTCCCTCTGGTCTTCCTCAGTAGACTGACCCAGTGAGACTTGTCACGTGGCTTCTTTGAAGTGTGACATCAACACTGGGTCAAAGGTATCTGGTAGACAATGTCCCGGTGTTGATGTCACACTTCAAAGAAGCCACATGGCAAGCTTCACTGTTTCAGTCAACTTAAACATGTAAACATTATGCATTTGCTCACAAATGTTACCTTAAGTTTCTAGTCTTGAAATATCTTCCATACCTGCTAATAACTGATAACTTCTGTTGATGTTCATAGCTCCAAGAACTGAGGGGAAACATCCGTGTGTTCTGCCGCTGCCGTCGTGATGACAGGGTGGGGGGGTACATGCAGTTCCCCAACGATGAGGACATTGTTGTACCCACCGGTGGGAGCAAGAAGAGCTTCAGCTTCGACAAAGTCTTCTCCCCGGCCTCCACTCAAGAACAGGTCAATGTTTTGAATTTGCCATTCCATGTTGTAGGAACTAAGGCCACACCAATTTAATTTCTTGCAATTGGTTAACGGATTCACCCGCTTCATTTTTTTCTGATTTCTGATTTCTTTAATCACACCAGTGCATCGTCAATGGAGCTTGTTTTGGGGCTATTTCAAAAATGCTTGAAGCATAAAATGATTATGAAAATGCTAAGGCCACACCAATTTAATTTCTTGGTTAACGGATTCACCCGCTTCATTTTTTCTGATTTGCGAAAAAAAAAAAATTAGAATCAACTGCAAAATGCTCATACATGTACATTTGTATTTTGCCCTGAACAGTTGAAAACAGTCCTTTTCTTCCTAGTTGTTACAGTTTTTCCATCTATCGATGCAGTGGTTTGATTAAAAGTTCAAAATTCATTGTTTAAATATTAACCCTGCCTTTTGTGTTGACTTCCTAGCTCATTTCGTAGCATTTAAGCCTATAATAGGATGCCTAGACCAGTCCTGTTTTTCCTTTTTTTTTTCGCCCTGTCGCTTCATATTTTTTCTGAAAAAATCCGAGAACCAACAAATTAAATTAGTGTGGCCTAAGCTACATGTACATATGCATGTTGATTAAAGAGACACTTGGCTGTGTAGCCAAGTGTTTTATTCACAGCTCACATTTCGGTGACCGTCTGTCACCTTCTTCAGGGCAATTCTGACTGGTTCACATTACACTGCAACACAGGTGTCGCTGCTATAGGTCACCAAAATGTCGGCTGTGAATAAAACACTAAGTCTTGGTTGTGTAAAAAGAGTCTCTTTACTCAACCAACCTGATGAAACTATTCACGGATGTAAGCTACATGTTGTATACATGTAGCTTACATTTGTATTGAGTTTGAAATACAGTCCAACTTGTCCAAGGAACCACCTCTATAATCTGACAATCTGGCCAAAATGACTGCTTTTTCTCGGTTCCAAGTTTATCCCATAGACGTAAGCATTAAGGGTCGGGTAATTTTTTGGACTGAGAAGACCTCGCCACGATTAGAAGTCCTTATGTAAACATGCCTGTCCTTGGTGCTGAACACCATCCACACACAGGTAAACATGTCTGTCCTTGGTGCTGAACACCATCCACACACAGGTGAACATGTCTGTCCTTGGTGCTGAACACCATCCACACAGAGGTGAACATGTCTGTCCTTGGTGCTGAACACCATCCACACACAGGTGAACATGCCTGTCCTTGGTACTGAACACCATCCACACACAAGCAAGCATGCCTGTCCTTGGTGCTGAACACCATCCACACACAGGTGAACATGTCTGTCCTTGGTGCTGAACACCATTCACACATGAAAACACGGCTGTCCTTGGTGCTGAACACCATCCACACACAGGTAAACATGCCTGTCCTTGGTGCTGAACACCATCCACACACAGGTTAACATGCCTGTCCTTGGTGCTGAACACCATCTACACACAAGTAAACATGCCTGTCCTTGGTGCTGAACACCATCCACACATAGAAAAACATGTCTTTCCTTGGCGCTGAACACCATCCAGAAAAGTAGCCTCCTTCGCAGTCTTGTTGGGCGTCGGCGTAATTTTTCTCTGAGCGTCGGACGCGAGTAATATGCCTTGCGAGGGACTGTTTGCTGTCGAGGGACTTTTTGCCACGGAGAGAAGGTTTCGCGCTCCAACAAGACTGCTTCCAATCGGCGAGTAGAAAGGACCTTGGATTAAGCCAGCCTTTCATAGAGGCTATTAACATGTTCGTGCAGGTCCAATTCACATGTTCGCGCAGGTCCAATTCACATGTCCGCGCAAGGGTAATTCACAGATACGCTCGCCTTTGTCAACGGTTGGTTTTATTAGCTTGCGTTACGTTATAGTGGAAGGTTCCAACAGAGAAAGAGTGAACATTGGTAATGTTACAACAAAGGCATTGCTGTGCATATTTAAGTGTCCCAATGCAAACAAACCAAGACAAACTTTGCAGTACATTTTTGCTGGTGAAAATGCGCGATTCTATTACGCAACTTGCTGCGGAGCGGTGCATTACCCTCCCATGACCAGTGAGATCAACCCGCCACCAAACAACATGGTGGCACTTTGTTTATCTGTCCACGTCTCCCAGCAATATCACAGTTTAGCTTGCGGATACCTGTGGTAGTGATCTGTTCAAAGTTGTTTTTCGTAGCAGCAATGTCTCCGGGATTTTGTTGAGTGGATAGGACTCAGTTTTCGGGAATGGTTGGCGTTCTACCGACGGGTTGATCGGCGACCGCTAGAAAGTTACAAGTTTTGGCTTGTTGAGCAACGGGGCGTGAACACCTCCCGGCACTGGTGGCGTTTATTGCGGGAAGTTCACACATCCATGCCAATCGCTCCTAAGTGTTTTTTGATAGCCCTTTCTACTCACCGATTGGAGCAGTCTTGTTGGAGCGCGAAACCTTCTCTCTGTGGCAAAAACTCCCTCGACAGCAAATTGTCTCTCGCGGCGGCATATTACTCGCGTCGCTCAGAGAAAAAATTACGCCGACGCCCAACAAGACTGCGAAGGAGGCTACCAGAAAAGCATGTCTATCCTTGGTACTGAACACCATCCACACACAGATAAACATGCCTGTCCTTGGTGCTGAACACCATCCACACACAGGTAAACATGTCTGTCCTTGGTGCTGAACACCATCCACACACAGAAAAACATGTCTGTCCTTGGTGCTGAACACCATCCACACACAGGTAAACATGCCTGTCCTTGGTGCTGAACACCATCCACACACAGGTAAACATGTCTGTCCTTGGTGCTGAACACCATCCACACATAGAAAAACATGTCTGTCCTTGGTGCTGAACACCATCCACACACAGGTAAACATGCCTGTCCTTGGTGCTGAACACCATCTACACATAAGTAAACATGCCTGTCCTTGGTGCTGAACACTATCCACACACAGGTAAACATGCCTGTCCTTGGTGCTGAACGCCGTCCACACATAGAAAAACATGCCTGTCCTTGGTGCTGAACACCATCCACACATAGAAAAACATGCCTGTCCTTGTCTTTCAAATGACAGAAAGACAAACATTGCCTAGAACACTGGATCCCAAATAAATAAAGAAAAAAAGCTGGAAAAGCTTAGTTCCCAACAAGTATGTCATCTGATTTTTTGATTGTTCTCTATTCTGTAGGTGTTTGAGGACACCTTACCTATTGTACAGTCCTGTGTGGATGGCTACAACGTGTGTATTCTGGCTTACGGACAGACTGGCTCAGGAAAAACCTTCACCATGATGGGCCCAACAGATAACCCAGGGGTCAACATCAGGTAAGTCAAGACATTGTGTAACAGATTATATATACTGGTAAGGCATTCAGTTACCATGATGAAGCGGTGTACAGAAAGTAAGAGATTGAGTGAAATGGAACGAAATGGAATGAAATAGAACGAAATGAAACGAAATAGAACAAAATATGTAACAGAGTGGAATGAAATGTTATAGAATGCCAAAATCAATTTGAAATTAAAAGAATGTGAACAAATGAAAATGAAGTCTAGAGTCTAAAATATTATTCGTCATACCATACTCCGTTTAGTCTTTTGTTCAACCTTTAATCATGACCATATAGATTTCATAATGAAGGCAATTGTTTTTTCTTCCAAAACTTTTCATTTGCATGCTCGCATCAGTTTTTGGGGTTGTAGAGGATGTCATCCATATAATCAAATCAACATGGCCTTAGTTACTAAGAGTCATTGTCATGATTATTCTAAGTGTGGTAAATGATTTAAAGCATCAATTTGTATCTGTTTGCACTGTACGACTTGACACAAATTGCATTGTGTATTATTCTTAACGACTTGTTTGTTTATGCTTCGTTAACAGGACAATTAAGGAGCTCTTAAGAATATGTAATGACAAGGAGACTGTGGACTACACTCTTAAGGTAAGGAAGGCATTTCATTTAAATTGTGAATTATGTGCAATTATAGTGTACATATCCTAGTCATGTACATTATGTAACGTTAACCTTTCAAGACTTAATCATGTTTTGGCCAGACTAAGATGTTTTGGTGTTTGCCAAATTTGAATCAACTCCTTTGTATCCAGCCTTTGTATCCAGTCTTACTGAATGTCACTGTCAATAATTTCTTTTTATAATGCTGAAATTTGCAGTACTTTTATGTCCCCAGTTTAATTTTTACTTAAAATTATATATACTGTAAACAAATAATTTGCCGATTTTCTTTTTTTCTATTATTTCTATTTTCTATAATAGTTCCATGAACGCCTTCATTTTTCTCAGACCACGGACGTTTGCTAAAGGTGTTTGTGGGGATTATGTAACTCCTGTCATGGAATGCAGAAAACAGTCTGTGTTTGGTAGAATAATTGTTGTCTTTGGTTTCCCCAGATTTCCATGGTTGAAGTGTACAATGAAACCCTGTCAGATTTACTGAAGGAAGGGTCCATAGGCAATGCCACACTTGATATCAGGACCATGGTAGGTATATATACTGGTCATGATGGTTATAATTTTTTTCCAATATTGTTTTGCAATTTACAGCATGTATTTGCTCATTTTTCAGTTGCATTGTACGATTTACAGTTTTTTTTACCTTTTTTTGGAAATGGATGAAAGTTCATACGCATGTGGATGTCATCCATATTTTTTATGGATCAAATCAACATCTCTATCTGTATAGCTGGTATAACTGCCCTTCAGCGTAACATTATATATTACACCTAACAACCTGTTACACCCAATCTTCGCACATCTAACTGCACGAGTTATTTAAAGCTTCCTAGTGATGATGCCCCATACAACTGTACAACTGTGCTTGGTGGCAACGAGTTCCACTCTACGACAGAAAATACAAGTTTTTGAAAATACATGGCCTAAATGTGAATCCATGTGCCTTTGTCCTGACAGGGTAAGAAACAGGTGATCACAGGCCTGACAGCCATCGAGGTGAAGACTGAAGGGGACATCACAGATACCATGGAGACAGGCTTCAAGAACAGGACTACTGCCTTCACCAAGATGAACGCTGAAAGGTACTTTGTACTTTAAGGAACTCAGTGTCTGATTCAACACATGATCTTGTAGTGGGCAGCATTGGGCATTGCTCGTTTGTAGAGCCTATATATATAGAATACAACATGGGGTATTCCGTATTGCCCGAGGTATCGGCCCGGCCTGCGGCCGTCGGGCGATCCGACTCGCGGGAGGGCCGGGACCGAGGGCGATGCGGAATACACCGTGTTGTATTTTATTTATATCATACCCACCCAAGAAAACGCGCCTTTCAATGCAAGATGAGCCAAAAGTTGGTGCCACTGAACCCTAAACTGCAACAACATCAATTCCAACGTCCGGATTCTGTATTCGAATTTTCGAAAGGGGCACAAGCGGGTAGGGCGAAACGCGTTCGAATCGTTTTATGGAAGCCCTGGAAGCGTTCGATAACGGGTCCGGAACCCGTTATCGAACGTTATCGCGGCCCGGGTATGATATAAACAGCAATACAGCATGTACACTGTTAAACTTGCCCAAGTGACTGCCTAACCACTTTTTCTCCGTCCCAATTTTTCCGCATACCCCAGTAATTATGAAAGAAGGGACTTGCCTAAGCATCAAGCCAGTTGTCCAAAGTGACCAGGACTGACAGTACATGTATTTTGGTACATTGCCCAATCTCTGTTGTATAACGGCTCTGTTATTTTCAATTCTTTGATGATTGATTACTAGCAAGAAATCTTGATGGAATCGGCCAGTTTACCATTGATTTTGACACCAAGACAGTCTTTACGCAACATAAACTGGTGCTGGCTGGGTCAATTTGACTCAGTGGGGCAGTCTATTGTAAAATGGGTTGAAATTCTGCTGTGGTTTTCTTGTCTTGCTTTCATTCTTGTTGTACAAGAAGACCACTGGTCTAAGAAGACCACTTTTCCTCAGACCCATGGGTGATCGTCTTAGACAAGTTTGACTGTAACGTTACATTGTTCTTACTATAATTACTTCTTACAGTTAGGCCACACCAATTTAATTTCTTCGTTAACAGATTCGCCGCTTCTTTTTTTATGATATGCAAATAAAATAAAAATTCAGAATGAACTGCAAAATGCTCATATCTTGCCCTGAACAGTTGAAAACTGTCCTTTTCTTACTACTTGTTACAGTCATTCCATCTTTCAATGCAGTGGTATCATTAAAAGTTCAAAATTCATTGTTTGAATTTTGAACCAGCCTGGTGTGTTGACTTCATGGCTCCTATGGTACCATTTTGGGCCATAATAGGATGCCTAGGCCTGTTTTTATTTTTACTTTTTTTCGCCTGCTCGCTCCATCATTTTTCTAGAAAAATCCGTTAACCAAGAAATTAAATTGGTGTGGCCTTAGTATGTTTCTGTATCCAGTTCCAGGTCTTCTCTTTCATGATTAATTATGATCCAGATCATTATTACTGACACCAATGCTCAGCATGGGTTGGGCAGTATTTAAATTTTCCTATTGGCTGTCGAATGACAAAATCAATCTCTGAAACAAAATCCCAGACAAAAGTCACTTGGGACATCAATCTAGACTTATGGATTCATAGTCTGAAGGCCTCATCCCAAAATGGTTATCGAATATTGGAGAAAACATATGGGACTCGAACTGATGGTCTTGTGTCATTTACAATACTCATACTTCTGACAGTTAAAAAAAAATTACTTCAATACTAGAAAGGCCGACATTTGCTTGGGAGCAAATACAGCATATTTCAGTCAATTTAGAGCTATGTAATTGATAACAAAGATGCAAGAACAAGCACTTTGAATCTCGACAGCTTTACTTACAAAATTTAACATTACTCTTATCGCACAATCTTATACAGTAGCAGGTATGTAAATACTAACAATGATGAGATTTGATACATTTTGAAGGTCTAATTGCAAAGAAAAGGAAATTATACATAACTTTGTAACTATATATAGATGAACTATAAAATTATACATACATACATATTGAACTATACATTAATTAAATACACTATGACACTATACATGTACATAAATATTGAATAAGATGTACATATTGAATAATCTACACATGATTGACATGATTATATATATCATACATATACTATGCAACTACAAATATCAGATATTGAATATGCTATACATGATTTGTGTATACTATGAAATTACTACAGTACCGTTCTCGTTATAGTTACCATCATCTAACGTTAGTTTTCCGTTACTAGCTGGTTACTTTTTCGTTACTAACCTGTTTACAAACGCGCTAGTATTGCATTTACTACCGGCGCACTGCTGGAACAGCGGAAGGAACGTTGATCTAGCCGGCATTTTACTATATTGTAACGTTTAAAACGTTTTAACGATCACCGGTGCATCAATTAGATCGATATATTCTTTTGTCACTGTTGTCCAGGCAAGCGTTTCTATAGTTTGTCAACTTTATTTTGCTGTTTTTCTCTGTTTGTTTACTTAGTTTACCACCGAATATGCAATCCTAGATGATCTGAAGTTATAAATGCCCCGGTCCGCCGTACATTGTAATAGGCGGCGGGCGTGAGGTAACGTTAGGGATGTGCAAAAACATCGCGGAAAATTCCTATAACGCTCGAAAAAAGGCAGCATATTTACACGTTCCCGCAAACATTTTATGGCTAATTATTGGCCAGTTTTAGGGAGTTTTGTTATGTCCTTGGGGTTTTGTTTAGAGTGGGACTGGACGGAAAGCCGTGCCGCGACTCCATAATCGTCCGACTCCGTGCACTTCCGTGTTACATTACGTTGTACGTGACCAACAAAATTACGCCAAAGGCACCACAAATCCACATGTACATATATATATTTTCCCGAAAATTCTTTTTAGTACGCATTTCGTCACTAGGATGTTGCTAATTAGTCGTAGAAATAAGGTACAAAGCAGCGTAAATGTGGCTCGAGCTCTTTTCACTTCGCGCGCCCCGGCATGCAGCCGGCTTCGTTCTAGCCAATCAGAGAGCAGGTCATCAAAGGTGAACCAATCAGAGCGTAGCAGTGCGTTGCTACTTGCATATGTTAATGAAGCATGCAGAGTCCGTGCTGTTTGTAACAGCGAAGCTCTGCTGAGCGCGGCTGGAAATGTGTTTTGCAACTACATGTATATTTTTACGGGGCTTTTCTGACGTTTGACGCTACCGTTGGCACGATATGATCGCACTACCATGTACACGCTACCGGAGGCGACAGATGAGTGGTCATTTTTACACAATCGTCGAGAAATTTTGACGTTATGCACCCGGAAGTGCGCCGATATCGGTTTGCGTTCCCTCGATTTTTGACAGTTTCCCCCGTCAAAATAAGAAACAAAACTACCGCTATTAAATAGAACCATGTATTACAATTATCATTTGAACATGATTGATCTATAACATATTCCTTTATAATATTATAAGTATAATATCATCATGGTTGTGGAAAGTCCTCAGCTGGCGAACCATTTAGTCGGCATGTCACGAGTTCTTGCACCGCGCCGGGAGTGACGAACATTTTCTTACACATATTCTTACCCCTTCCGAAACACTTTGCGGTACCCAGGATTAGGGTGGTCTGCATATTCCCTCGTCGTGATTGTAGATGATGTAAAAATCTAGGTAACGTTACATAAAATTGAATGTGTGGGTCATTGCGCACGACTTACGTGCAACGTGACCTCAGGTAACCCGCAATGTTCGATGTGTTCGATGGCCAACGGCAGATAGAACGAGCCATTCTTTAGATCGAACGTGGAACGGGTATAGCACTTTTGGCCCTTTTTTGGCCTGAAATAGCCATTTAAGTCCCCTAAATGAGTCATTTGGAAGTGGTGTATGCCAAACATGTGACTGCTATTCTGTAGACACATGTTCAAGGTACCCTTATACCGAATTTCAGACCATTTGGTTGTAAAACCAGCGCTCAGGATCCAAAAATCCATTTTTTGTCGAAAAATGCCCCAAAAAGCCTTCATAAAAATTTGTCAAAGGCATGTATCAAAAAAATGAAAAAAACGCCTAGGGGTATTGGCCCACTCTACCTCCTTGCCAAATTTCAGGTCATTTGACTAAAAAATGACAGAGTTGAATCCCTTTGACTGTGTGGCAGGAGGAGAAGGAGAAGGAGAAGAAACATGAGGGAACACAATATATTTCATCCATGGTATGGACTGAAATATAATTAAGAGTTAGTGCTGCGTACCAGTTCACTGGACTTGGATCCGGAATGTTTAGGTTCATGTCCAAAAAAACCTTAAAGTCAAGAACCGAGTCCGGACTTATTACCATAAAAGACCATTTCACATACCCCTTTTCTTTCCAAACCACCTAAAACCTTCTATAGAAGCAAACATTGCCATCGGGCATCATCAAGTACCGGCCTCCATGTTATGTGGCCAAAGTTTCACCCAGACAACATTGCAAGGTTGCCAACATGCAATTTTGTATATGCCATGGGTTTAGGTCCGGACTTACAAGTCCGGAACTGAACCTAAACCTCTGGACTTGAATCCGGACCTGAACCGAAATGTAGGTTTAGGTATGCAGCACTATTAAGAGTTTATTGCAAATACATGCCCAAGGGCTAATTGCAACGTTCAAACATCAATGGGGTTCTTTCAAACAATTTTTACATTGTTTCAAACCAATTTCAGAACAAAATCTTCAGATTCTTTTAAAACAATCTTCTGAAATAGTCACAGATTCTTTGAAATAATGTTCCGATTCTTTGAAACAATCTTTAGATCTTTTTAAACAAATTGACTTACAATCCTCAGAAAAAATCTCCACATTTTCCAGTAAATCTACAAATTTCAGGTTATTTGGCTGAAAAAATGCAGAGTTGAATCCATTTAAAGAAATGGCATGCCAGGAGAAGGAGAAGAAACATGAGAGAACACAATATGTTTCACCAAACCACTTCATGGTGTGGTGAAGCCATAATAATTAGTTTTGTTGGATTTGACTTCTTTTGAGGCAGTGGAAAATGGATTATCATTGATGGTGCAACCTCAAGTGCTTTAGGCCACACCAATTTAATTTGTTGGTTCTCGGATTCGCCTCTTCGTTTTTTTTTGAAAAAAAAAAAA